TGTCAATGTGTTTCTCTGAAACACATATAAAAGAAAAAGGAAAGGATGGGAAATACTCCTTTCCCTTATGTCACCAAAAAGATGCCATATTTAACATAAGACACTCTTGTTGATTATAAGTAAGCATTCTTTTAGTTCTTTTGGATGAAAACAAACAAAAATTTAAAAGGGAGATGATAAAGCCAAAAGATGACATTGTTTTGAAACAATATATCTAGTCAATGAATATAAGTAAAAATGTAACTTTTAAAAGAACAGAGGTGAAGAAATTTTTAATACCTAGGACATTACATACTATATTTGGTTTTTCCACCATTTCCTTGAAATTGCTGGTATGAATACATAATCCACTGAGGCACAGTTTCATTTTTCTACCAACCAAAGTAGGTTTTATCTTTTACTTACCACAATTCAAAGTCTGCAAGCACATTCTAAAGGCTACCTTCTATTTCTATTACACACAAGCAAAGGTGGAGGTAGTTCTCCAAAAAATTAGATTAACAAGGAATACAAAAACCTTGCTCTTCTCTCTCCATCAAATTTTACAAATGTGAAAGCAGTTTTTCCTAGTGTTTCTTAATTAACTATGAAAAGTATTGAGGCAAAATTCCAATAAAAGGTCTGGAAAATCAAAGCTAAGGATTTTTCCTGTATGTTTCTGCTTTATGTTTTCACCATAAACCCTACCGTCTGTCTTTCTTTTTTAAGTGCACCTTAATGATCTGTGTCTACCAATAACTGTTCTAATAACCTGAGCAAAAAAGCCAAAATTTCATAACATAGTTTCCATATTTTGAACGTAAAAGAAAAATGGATTTCCTTCTTTAGGAAAACTTAGAACTAAGTTTAAATATTAAGTTTCCTTTAAATAGAACTATCGTTACCTGACAGAGCCAAAAACATCTTCAGGCTGTACATTTCTATAGGTAATTATCAAACTGAACAACATTTTCTTTTAAAGTACTCAAGATCCCAGCTTCAATTCTTTCACATATAACAAGGTTAAGATTTCATGAATCCGGGCCGGGCGCGGTGGCTCACGCCTGCAATCCTAGCTCTCTGGGAGGCCAAGGCGGGCGGATTGTTTGAGCTCAGGAGTTTGAAACCAGCCTGAGCAAGAGTGAGACCCCGTCTCT